TAAGGGCCTTAAAAATGTGCATCTTAGCAGCAATCAATCATTGGATGAAGACGACTGTGTCGCATGAAACGGGTTTGATTGATTCGTCACCGTTGATGATATTTTTCATCAACAATAGGGGAAAGTTTGACCGTCTCGTGGTGCAGAAGAGTTTCGTAGTAGTTTCTTCGCGATTCATCATTACAGAAGATAAAACACGAATTGAAGCCGTGGCAAACCAGGCAAGAGAAGTTTTGTACGTCTGATACCAGTATTTGCATAATGAAGAAAATTTCTGAACTTTTTGGTCGGCCCCGCTTGTTGCCGCTGTAGCAACATCAGGTTATGAGGTCAGTACTACTGGATTTCAGCAAGTGATTTCGATTCCGTGCCATCATTTTCAATGAACTGGAACTTATTGGTTCTACACGGAACGAAACAGATGTTTCAGCCTGACAGCATTGGCCATCCTGAGCGGAAATATTGAGTTGAAGAATGCTGAGCAGCTGCTTTTAAAGTGACACTTAAAACTGGCACAATCAATTATGAAATGCAGAAAATAGCGACGATGTACATCAAGATATTAAAATATCTATTCTTGAACCTTAGCCGTTCCAAACAGTCGCTTCATTTATTGCAGCTGCGGTTCCAACACGATTTCCTGACATAGGCGATTCTGCCACCTTGGTCTTTAACTTTCTTACGGGATATCTTCCCACACTCTTTTCATTTAAGAAATTACGGTTCGAGCAGTAGTTGGCTCGTTGTCCGGGTATAAGGGCGAAAGCAGAATAATAGTGGTCATATCATCAAGATAAGACTTGGGATCTCGGGGGGGGGTGAGCATGGGCAGATTCTGGCAGCTCATTTTTAATTATTCATATTGTACATTGATCAAACCAGAGTCAATGTTCTTGTTGAAACGTCTGTGGTCTGGATGAATAGAGCAATATTTTTTACTATTTATTGGCCTCTATCTGTTTTCTCAATTTGTCTTGATAACGGAAAAATTGTTTTTATAACGCTGGAATGTTGGCCTTCCCAACACTTTATGGTAGGGCCGTTTTGGTCGCTCTTCTTTTTTTTTAAATTTAACTGCGGAACAGCTCTTCATTTTCATGCCATCAGCCATAAGTATTTCACTTTTTAAAAGGACAGTTGACAGCAACTGTGTGCCAAGCATAATGTGTAATCTTTTGCTTCATTCCACAATGTGGTACTCATTTATGAACCTCAGAAGCAGGAAAGGCGATTTACCTGATCTCTTGAAAACGAGTCAGATATGATATGATGGTAAGAAGCATCAGTAGCTTCTTAAATAGATCATATAAGCAGAGAAATATGATAATAAACTAATAATATGATAACATTAATAACATTGATAATATGACAGCGCTCCGCTTTCAATTTCATTCCACTACCTTTTCCAATTCGAACGTCGAAAAGCCAGCCGTCTCCGCCTCTGCCTGAATGATGATTTTGTAGTATAGATTTGGCGCTTGGGAAAACAGTTTATTCAGAAATCGCATGGTCAGTGTCTGAAAGAATTGAGGTACACTGAGGGAAGGTTGATTTCCTAACGAAGTCGTCCGACATTACCTGCAGTTGGAAATTCGAGTGCTTTATTCCGTACTTCAGTTGGGCGACAATGATCGTCAGCCGACTGTCGTCCCGATTTTGTCCAGCCAATGCCGTCAGCGATTTGTAGACGATGCCGAATGTGTCCACGTAATTAAAAAACGCCAAAATAATCTGCAAAGCGAAGTTGTTTTATTGAAAATTAATTCCATAGTTGAAATTAAGAGCAAACTTAACAATGTGACTTCTATCTTTACCGATTGGTGGAAACTTGCCCGACTTTCATAGCAAAGTATGACTGCGGCAGAAGTCAAGAGGATCAAATATTTACTTTTGCCTCTCGATTGTTTACGTTTTTTCTAGCTCTTTCTGTCTAGCTAAAGAGCCTTCGTCCTCTTTTCACCGTCGAAAATACTTCCCTTAACTGCTATTTTTGTAATTGCTGAAATGGGAAGGTAAAAATTGCATAATTAACTGAATTTCTGCTTGACGTATGTGACTTCTGCCTTCTCGACGCCAAGAGAGAATGGGCCTATCATGCAACTCACCTGAAAGACAACCGGTGAACGCCAACGATCCTAAACTGGTTTCCGTTGGTCCACTCAGTAGTCTAAGAACATACTCGGACGATCTGAAGGTAAAATTACTTGGCTAGCGATGGAGGCAGGAAGCGAAGGACAGAGAATACCGGAGGACCGTCGACTTGACCATAACGGGGACCAGTCGGATAAGGAGTAATAGAGTGAACGATGTATTCCTAACATTCTGTTCTATTCTGCCAGAAGTCAACAATTTACATAATAAAAAATAGATTGATTGGGCTCCTGATTTAAGACTACTGCACAATGTCGTTAA